ACACACACACACACACACACACACACACACACACACACACACACACATACACACACACATCTGCAATCATCACTTTTATTCCGCAGGTGCAGGAATCAATGTGTCAGATAAAAACATTATAATGAAAGTGTATTATCTGAGAACAGCACTGTATTGAATGCTGCAAGCGAGGTTGCTTTGGGTAGATAAGCAGACTGTCAGAAAAGATGAAGGTGATTGGTTGCAGCAAATTGGCATCCATGCTGGAAGATGAATGTAAGCCAAATATAACGTTAGAGGTGAGGGATAATAGCTGTCGTCTTCAGAAAACTGCGAACGTGAATAGAATTTGCAAAGACTGAATTTCAATGCTGATTAAACTTGCCCACTAACAATGTGATAACTCCTGTAACTTGCTGGAGATTAAAGCAAAAACGACACTTTATTGCAACTTCATATTTCATGGTTTACAGTATTATAAATATTCTATTTCATTTTTAATTTACAAATATATGTATAATAGTATTTTATATGTCACTCATAAAAAGCCAAACCTAATGAGTTCGGGTGACGAATAATAACAAGCAGCCGGTTTAGCATGGATGCGTTGGAAGCAATTTTAAAACTGCAATTTCTAAAAAGTATTGAATCTGACTGCAAATTGCATTTTGGATTGCATGACATTCTCTGTTACACAGGCCGGACCTTGTTTATTCTTTATTTTCACATTTTCGGGCAGTAAGGATAGAATTGCTAAGAGAAGGAGACAGGGAAGGAGATCACTGTCAAAATGACCATGAATATGTATCCCATAGAGTATTATGATTAGTTTTCATTTTGCATTATTTAAATGTTTACATATTTAGCTTTGTGGCCTGGCTGAAATCGTGTTTTGATTATAATTAACTGACAGCACTCATGCTAATAGTAAATTAAAATACACATGTGACAGTTTAGAGCTGCTACAGAGTAGGAGACAGATCCGTCCCCTGTCCCTGCAGAGAATTGCTGCAATCCGTTCTGTTCAGTGACTGGAAGCAGCATGATGAATGAATGCACATACTCTCCTTTCAGGTAATTTACAGTTTGATATGGTTGTCAGAATTGCTCCTGCAAAGAGGATGGTCAGCCTCTTGGAGTGAATTTTCTTTGCCTGGAGTTATTGCGAACATTTTCCTGGACCCCAGTAGAGTTTAAATTGATGCAATAGACTCCAAAGCACTTAATTTATTTCCAGGATGGATCATTATGTGAAGAGAAGAAGCTGAAGTCCTCACCTGAACTTTAAGGGACTGTAGATATCTCCATTTTCTGTTAGCAGACAATTCCAATCAGGACTCTTCACTTCTGTCAGGTTGATTGCATGCCCAGGGCTGCTGCTAGATACAATCTCGATGTTCTCCATGAATTCAAAGTAAGAAATGAAGAACCTTGCATCGTTTTCTCAGGAGGCACATCTGAGCTTTACCTGCCATTATTTCATGGCTGTGTGGCACAGACACTGCCATTGGTTTGAACATGAGAGCGATGAACTGTATGCAGATGCTTGTCTATTTCAGATATGGCTTGAAAGGATCCCTGTGCACATGTAACACACCTTTTATCTCCTCTAGTGTGTGTTAAAGGTCCCATGTTATAGAAAGTGAGATTTCCATGTCTTTTTTATTTTAAAGCAGGTCAGTGTGCCATAAAAATACTCAATTCATTGATAAATGCACATCCCATTTTCAGAAACGAGCCGTCAGGACTTCTGTAATGTGTATACAATCAGCGCCAAGTGGAAAAAAAGTTATTTTGCAGGACAAATCCAAATATCTGTCACTTCTTGATTTAGATGTGTAGATTAGTTGACTGGATTCTGACTGAAGTCAGACATACCAAAAAGCTGTAGTATGCTTTGGGAAATAGAGACCCGAGGATAGTTTATAATGCAGGTTCCCCACACTGACATTAAGCTTACACAAAGTAGGAAGCAAAGTAAATTCTTTTAAAATGAATATTCCCTGAAGAACAATTTGTTTGTACTCATTTAAATCTGTGGAAGAAATGTGAGCTTTGCAACAACAAATGATCACTGATCTCAGTATCTAAGGTGTTAGAAGCCATTAACCCTTTTACGATAAAACTAATTTGCTGCTAATAATTTAATTACACAAAACACGATTTCTTTCATTCTGTTTGATGGGAAACTCAAATTGTTTCTAAAGAAGGATATTTGCTTTTCACACATTTTTGTTATGCGTTGACACATACAGTATGAAGATGGCCAAGTTAATGCTTTTACTAAATTATGTCTTAATTAATCTCTTATCAAACTGCTAATTTTCTAACCACATTCACATTAAACCTACATTAGAGACAGTATTGGTGTTGTTGGTGTATATATTTGCAGATATGACAAAGAGTGCAGTGCAGTACAGAGATACATCTTAAATTGACTCTCAATCATGTTTAATTGACCTTAGATGTTCTTCAATTCATTCATTCATTCAATTCATTTTGAATAAAATTCAGTTCTTATTTATTTCTTATTTATTTTCCAGCAATATTAAATGTACTGTTATATAAAGTATCTATCTATCTATCTATCTATCTGTCTGCCACAGGATGTAAAAGAATCGGCTGATATTCCTATTTTCAGGTCTAGGCTCTGCTTTGCTTCCATATTTACGTTCTCTGTGTGCGTCTGTGTCTCCGTAGGAAACTGGCAAAGTCCACCCTTGTGTTAGTGCTGGTGTTTGGCATCCACTACATCATCTTTGTTGGGATGCCTCATACATTTGAAGGATCGAGCTGGGAGGTCCGCATGTACTGTGAGCTGTTCTTCAATTCCTTTCAGGTACGCAGTTCTCTTCAGATATTTTCACACTGCAGAGAGCTGATACGTTATGTGGAAATCTGCCCTCAAACTCAACTCGAGATGCCCTTTTACAGCAAGCACTCCCACAAGCATGAGCCAACTCAAGGTTGGTCCTCACATTCACAGAGCAGGTAGAGCAGTTCAGTATTTTTACTGTAGTGGCTGACTGATTAATGTGTAAACAACCCAACACCTCGAAGTCAGCTTAGTAACACTATCCAACAGCAACCACAATCCCCCCCCATATAATATTTACACAAATATATTTCAGGACACAAATACATTTTTCCCCCACAGGTCTTAAATGAGGACTGAATAGCAATTATTAGGATGAACCAGCATACACTGTTGATTTATACTTCTCAGAGAGTCGCTGTGTGGATGCCTCTCACCAGAAAAGAAATGTAGCAATGCACTCACACACACACACACACACACGTGTGCAGAAACACACATACACAGACACACACCTTCACATCTTCCCATGACCCACCATTTTCAGAAAGACACTGTGTCTCTCCTGTAACTTCTTATCGTTGTGAGAAGCAAGGACAAGAGGTGAAACAGATCAAAACGGCAACCCCCAGAGAGTACCATTTCGTCTCTTTTTTTCACAAGAAAAGCACTCTTTGAGGCATAGAGATGGATGACCTGGAACATCCTTCTTTTGATAAAAGATCGTGTCTGTATCGCACTCAGATAAGAATGACATTTCAATTATTGTGATTATTGCTCTCGAGACAGTTTTTTTCTCACTTGCTCCAAGAGATTTGAGCTCACAACTCGTATGTCAATCTCTTCCTTTCAGGGCTTTTTTGTGTCCATTATCTATTGCTTCTGCAACGGAGAGGTGAGTGGATTGATCGCACAGAAGAAGCACAAACACTGCAAAATTAAAGCAAATTAAAAAAAGAACGGCAAGCAAATGAAATGTGATGAAAAGAGCTGTGATTCTCTCTCTCTCTCTCTCTCTCTCTCTCTCTCTCTCTCTCATATGCACTCTCAATTGAAAACAAGAATAAACATTTCTGCCAGTTTTCGCTTCACAAAACCCCCTCTGTTCTTTTCTCGCTTGCCTTTTGTGATCCGCATTGTATCCTGGGCAGCACTTCTTTCATCCTCCAGGAGTTACTGCAATTCAAATAGCTAAAAAAGAATCTGATGATTTTTATTTTCAGTTGGCTAGAGCTCAATGAAGCATCATTTTGTTATTAGCACTGGAACAAATGACTCAGATAATGTGGAAGGGTCTCAGCCATTACTTAAATTAACACTGTTTGATAACCAGTAAAAACTTCCTTGTAGTAAATTTAAGTGGGGGAGATGAAGTTATGATGCTGGATAAGATAAAATAAGATAATCTTGTATTAGTCCCACAGTGGGGAGATTTGCAAGATTGAAGATTTAGCAAGTTAAAAACCTTAATAATGTTTCTCAGGAGTTGGTGGAGACCAAACCTGAGCTAAAAGGCGAGTGAATGTTTTACTTGCATTAGCCACATGGACAAAAACATGACTCCTTTGGGATGCTTTTGTTGCTTTGCGTTTCCTATCAGACAATTGTTTGCTTGTATTAACATTTGACATACTGCAGGAGTTTTTATACTTTGAATATGCTGAATTACAGTCCAAACTAAAGTATCAAGTCTTCACTGAAATAAAAGAAATAAACCAGGTTTTAAGGTTTACAGAAACCTAAAACTAAAAGATTAGCCTGGATCAAATCAAGATAATTTTGCAGTATAATTCTTTATATTTATATCCTTTGTTCTTTCCATCCCCACAGGTCCAGACAGAGATAAAGAAAACATGGACACGTTGGAACCTGGCCTTTGAGTGGGAGGGCCCGGTGGTCTGCGGCCGCTACCGTTACGGCTCCGTCGTTGTTGGCATCAACAACAGCACCAGCAGCCAGTACCACCTGGCAGGGGCTGGCCCTTCCGCACGCTCCACCACGTTCGTTTCAAGCCGTGTTCATCGGAGCATAGGTCCTCCCGTGATCAGCACCCTCCCAGGATACGTGATCAGTAACTCTGACCCATCCATACCTGAGGAACCCGAGGACGGCGGCCCCAAGCGGGTGGACGATATCTCGCTGAAGGAAAATCTGCCTGTTCCAAGTGCAACAGCTGAGGATGAGGAGGAAACACTGTAGCTGCCAAAACATGTCAAACATGTCAAAACATGCGGTAGAGACCGATGAAAAAGTTTCTAGGTGCCCAATCCTCTCCAACCCACTTCATTGAAACTCTTAAAGGAACAGTGTGTAAGATCTAGTCGGGTGTTGCAGATTGCAACCAACCAAATACCCATCTGCAAATAAATTTAGAACAGGATTAGAATTAAAGTTTTTTAAATATATCTAAATATCGTCTCTGCATCCACAGCAAAGTCACCCAGTTTCGAAACGCATCCCTACCTTCAGACAATGTAAAATTGAGAATGGCTCTCGTTAGTGCCAGTATCCGTTAGTGTTCGTCCGTTATGGGCTGCTGTAGAAACATGGTGGTGCAACATGGCAGACTCTGTGGAAGAGGACCCGTTCTCTTCTACGTAGATATAAATTCCTTTTCCTAAGCTAACGGAAACACTGTGGTTCTTAGTTCCATATCATTGTACACTGATTAAAACATAGCTATAAATATTATATTCCATTTCTGCCAATTAATCCCCCTAAATGATACAAAGTATTCCTTTAAGCAGGTATCGAGGGCAAACGAATGTTTGACTGTATGTACAAAAATGGAAAACATGTCTTGAACCCCCTTATGAAAAAGAATATAACATAAATGGTTGGAAACTAAAAAACATCAATGCAGATGAAGTTTAATATGTCTTTTGACCCTGTGAGGTGCCAAAAGATGAAATGCAACTTATTCAACAACCAAAACACATCTAAATTGATGTTTTAGTATTGGTAGTTGCTGCATCCATCCGTCTAACTGCAGACAATCATTTACCACCTTTAGAAGCTCTCAGGGAGTGCATTGCCATAGGGCTCTCTGTTGTCAATAAAAGAAAACATGCTGTTGCATGAATTTTGATGGTCTGGAAATGTATTTCTGTTTCCAGTAAACTGCACTTCTCCTGCTGGGACCTTGAGAACCACAACTGAGGAAAGTGACAAGCCAAACAAAAAAGTACACAGAAACACTTGAGAAAAATACAAAGAAATAATATGGACTGGGGAGACGTGGGGTAAGAAAAAAAGGCTGTTTGTTCTTTTATAATAAAAGTTAACAGCAGCATGATAGCTGCAGAAGGAAACTCATCTCCTGGAATGCGTCAACATGATGACCATTTCTTCTTCCCAAAATGCTCACTGAATTTGAACGTTTTTATACTTGTCATTTTCTCCACATGTTCCAAAGCTAAAAAAATTAAATTTACAGCCATCTACAGCAGTTTCTAACCCTCCTGTTGGCTTAATTACAATTCTGATTACAGTATCTGTCATGCAAGAGCCACAACAATTGTCACAGTCAGCAGCACATACAGTATTCGTGGTACATTAAATGTGGCGTTAAAGGGATAGCTCACCTCAAAACACCCCCTCCAAAAACCATTTGTTTGCTTTTACCTCTAGTGCTACTTATCAATCTTGTTTTGGTGTGAGCTGCTGAGTGTTGGAGATATCGGCCGAAGAGGCGTCTGCTTTCTCTCCAATATAATGGAACTAAAGGACACTCGGCTTGTGGTGTTTAAAGTGCCAAATAAAAACTCAACAGCAATGTAACTTTCCAGAAATCTTAACCTGAGTACTCAGAATAATCCACAGACCTTGTTGTGAGCAGTTTTATTTTGGAAATGTTTTCTTTCTACCAAACTACACTGACAACTGTTTCCCCCGTTCAGACTGAAGTGTGCATCGACTCACGGACAAGATGCTTGTGTTTATAGTTTACAGCCACTCGATACTGCTAGCTAACTAAGCTAGCTAACATTACAGCTCAGCCAAGCTGGACACCATTGATGTTTACCTCTTGTGCTGTCACGAGCACGAGCCCCATCTGATGTAAACCTAATGTCAACTTACTGAACTGTCCCCTTAAGACAAACATTTTGCTGTAAAATTGCAGTTTGTTGTGTGCACTTGTCTTTTGACTGTGAAGGGCTACATTAAGGCTGCTTAAAGTTGTTGTGTCTGTACATGCATTTTCGTCAATGCATTAGATGCAGTGCAAAGATAAGATCATTGTTGTGCATGTGCCTCTCCAACCCCGGCAGAAGCTTGAAAAAAAAAGTACGGAGTCTTGTGAATCATGTCTTGTTTATGTGCTAAATGCTATTGCTGGTTTTCTTTTTGATATCTGTTTGTCTTTCTCTCCTTTATTTCCTTTCCCCCTCTCTTGTTTCCTCCCTACCCACTACCCTGTTCAGTGATGATACATGTTGAATGTTTGCAACAACAACCTGTCAATGTGCTCGTTGGTATTCCAGCGGTATTCCAACCACAAAAATGTTAACGGTTTCTATGAAGCCCTGAGAATAATACACTCTACTGTATATTCATATGCATAGTGTGAGTTCTATGTTAAAGTATGTGTGTGTGTGTGTGTGTGTGCATCTTACTTTGTGTACTCGTTACCCCAAAGTTGTCTTGTTTACATGCTCTCAACTGGTGATGATATTGACAGAAATGAGACGTGTTTCTTGCTAGAATGAGGCAACAGAACGAGGTTTGTTTGGTTTATTAAATATGACTGCCTTTCATCTTTAACAAAATTGATGACGAAAGCTAACTAGCCTAAGATGTTTTCAGCTTAGCATGTTGTTGGCTAATGGAGTCAGAGGTGTACCTTATGCTTTACGGCTGTCGACGGATATTCTAAATTTGAATTTGTATTGGAATTGTAAGAAATCCTCACTTCAATGAATTGGAAATGAAATAGAACGTTAGGTCAAGCTGAGTGAGGAGTAACTCAACAACAATCGTAATGATGAGTAGTACTTGTTGCCTTTCAACATTTGTACTATTTAGACAAAAAACAATCAACTTTTATTGTGATATTTACTGAACATTACATAAATTCAGGTGATCAATAGATAGATAACTTGTCACCAGTTAATTTGATCAGGGCTTAACTCTGAACATGTTTAAGTCTAGGCCTGTAAATAAATGTGAGCCAATGTGCAGCTAGATTAAAAAAAACAACGAAAAAGTAATGTGTGTAAGAGACTACTGAGATACACAACAGCCTTTCAAAATAAATGCTGGTCTCTAAACTAACTCTTTGTGTGTGTGTGTGTGTGTGTGTGTGTGTGTGTGTGTGTGTGTGTGT